TTGCAGCTGCATATCTTCATTTAAGGGAAGCAGCACTGTCAAGTAACTTAATGATGTGACTGGGGTAAGAAGGGGCCATGCATGAGTGTCCAAGTGCACTTGGATGAAGCCACAAGTCCCCGGTGACCTTGACTGTGATGGTAGTTAGAAATCCGGGCTGGTGCTGAAGTGACAGTGAGAATGGCTGACAGGGAAATGTTCTTTATCTCCTCTGTGCATAGTCAGAACTGTGTTCTCCTGTTCTGGAAGGGCTTTACTAAGCACCTCATGGGGTGGGCATGACAAACTACAGACAAGATAGCAAACCTTCCAGTCCTTCACTCATCACTGAACTAAACTGTGTGACAGACATGCTACATGTCATACTGGGGTCTTTGGAACAGAGTGGAACCAACTTCAGCAGCAGGAGGAAGGGCGGGCAGGAAGAGTCTCGGGAGGAGAGGGGGAGGGGAAAGTCTGCACTGAAGCGGATGTCACTGGATGGTCTACTGCAGAGCTGGAATCCCCTGGGCTTGGTGAGCCCAGGCAGGAAAGTGGTAAGCCTTGATCAACAAGTCACCCCCAGGTCATTGCATCTGTAGCCAGTATAGGAACCTGCCCATCCCTTTTCCCTTTTGGCATGACAGGCAGCAATGTTTGCTGCCATGGTTGATCCTAGGCACCTGTGTGGCCCAACCCCTGATACACTGCCCCTGATAGATAAACAGCATGAGCTAAAAAGAAATTTGTTTGCATTTTTCCGTCTTTGCCCACATAGTGTAATCTTGTCCCTCAGTTCTCTAAGGTGGGCCCAGGACAGGTAGCGTTTGTTTTATTTAGGAAGGTGCTAGATGCAAATACTCAGGCCTCACCAGGGATGATTGAAGCAGAAACCGGGTAGGGCCCAGCAGGCTGCATTTTAACAAACCTTCCAGGGGATTCTGAGGCACAAGGAAGTTTGAGAATCATTGGCTGGCCAAGGCAGACTAAATCGGTCCTCTTACAAGGGAGGAATTAGATGTCACAGAGGAATGTGGGAGGATGGTTCAGTGGGTAAAGTGCTTGCTGTACAAGCATGTAGGTCCGAGTTCAAATCCACAGCACACGAGACCCACATAAAAGTCAGGCATGGTGGCATGCAGCTGTAACCCACCCCCACGCCCATGATGGAGGGAGGAAGGGACAGGACACTCATTGGCCAATCAGTCTAGTTCAAAGTGGTAATAAGCTCTAGGTTTAGTGAGATCTCAACTCTGTCTAAAAAATAAAGTAGAAAGTAACAGAAGACACACAATGTGAACCTCTGGCCTATAAATGTACCCTAGTGCACACATGCATATGCTCCCCCATAAATTTAGAGAAGTCACAGAGAAGGTCATTATAGCAAACTCTAAAAACCGGAGTAAGATGCTGATGATTTATTATGTGATAGAAAAGGGTTCTAAAGGAAAAACAGCACTGTACCCATCACCCACTGATTGAGCCACCCTGTCCCAGTAGCTATCTGAATATCTACCATGTCAAAGAAAATGCACATTGCAGAAAGAGACACTCAGAGTCCAGTGGCATTGATGCCAGGGCTCAAGATAAACCCAGGAAAGTACTTTCCATTTGTGCCTGTGGCCTAGCTGATTTAGGAAATGCTCCTGAATGCTTTGAATTTGAAAGGTACATAATATCCAATTCTCTCTTCTGCAAGCTGAGTCATTAGCGCTGTTGCTGAGGCTATTTGGTAATGGGCACTATTTAAATGAAGCCAAAAAAAAGTACAATTTCAAACGAATTGCTTTTTAAACTGTCAAATAAAAGGAATCCATTTGTGCATGTGAGATCATTCCAAGGATTCTAACTATTAACTGAAAGCAGTTGAAAAATGTCAAAGAAAAGAAGTGTTCTGTACCAAGGCTGGCTGAATGCTTCCAGGTGGAAACTAATGACTCCTTTGACCGGATCTAGATCAAAACTTTCTGTTTTCATTAGTCCTATGTGAATTTCATGGATGCAAGTTTTAAATATTAATTCTTAGAAACAAGCCACTGGGTTTATTGTTTGTTTGTTTTTTGCTACTGCCGCTTTATCTAATGTCACCTGAATGCTGTCTCAGATATCAGACACAACTATATTATGTCAACTCTTTTCTCTGTCTTAAATTGGGTATCAAGGGCCCTTGCCAAGCAGCTTTCCAAGTAGCATATTTAACAGTTTCTTCATTCCTTTGTTATTGATGAATTCATCCTCGTCTAGTCAATAAGAAGGAGATTCTGAGGGTGTGTGGAAAGTAAGTTTTCAGTCTCCAGTGTTGGTGTTTAGTAGCTAGCACCAAACTGGAGGATGAGCCTCCATGGTGAGACAATACTACAGACCAGACAGAATTCTGGATGGTTCTACACAAGGCCCACCCACCTTGGCTCTTTCTGTTTCATACCCTCTAGGGCTCTCCACTTGTGGATTAGTTTTGTGTCCATTTCTTCAGTATCTTTGTGGTGTCCATTATACTGGCAAATTATCCTGTGCTTTCGAGTTCTCTGAGAAGTTAGAAATGAGGCTGTGATTCCCTGCTTCAGACCCTATCATGTTTCTCCCTCCAGATCCCTTGTCTGGGGATGGGCTGTCCTCCTCCAACTCTATGATAGGGAGGGGGGAAAACAGTAAAAGCCCAAGAGTAAAAACTTTGTGTCCTTGAGAGCAGCTAGTAGTTAAAACCTTTCTAACAGATGTTACTATTGTTTACCCCATGATTAAAAAAAAAAAAATGCCTGCAGTGGGAACCAAGAGCCAGAAGTTCAGCAATGGGAAGCTCATCCCTGCAGATAAAGCTCAGCTGGAAATTGCAGCTGACTGCCTCGATTGCCCCAGACACTTTCTGCTGGGTGTTTGTAAGCCTTGGATTTGGTGATGTTCCGCTGTGTATCCACCTGCTTACCTGTCTGCCTGCCTGCTCTTTGCCCTTTTACTGTTTTTCTATAGTTAATAAATCCACCCATTCTCTGGACCATACTAAACAGTGTATAGAAACAAACACACTGAAAATAGTGATTCCCACCCCCTCCCCCACACACTCCCCTTCCTACCACAGCCCCAGACCTCTAGGTAACTCTTAGCAGTGCCCCTCTGCTTGGCTAACAAATGTAAAACGACCTTGCCTATGAAGTACAAAGGAACCTTGCAAGTGGTGGCCAGCTGAAGGAGGCGTTTTGGGACAGTCCCCAGAAGGGAATTCCTCACACTTGACTGTGCCCAACGTCTCTAGGGACTCTGGTTTAAAATGCACATTGTTGCTCAGTAGGCCTAGGGTGGAGCTGTGCTGCCTGCAAGTCTCCTAAGCACCCAGGCAATGCCTTGGCTGCTGTGGATCCACACTGTGGCCTAATGAGCAGCAAGGGAATGCAGGCTCTCTTTGCAAAAACACTGACTTCCAGAATCCCACTTAGCAGGCAGGCATCTGAGGGACCGTCCCCCTTTGATTCGGGGTTCCTTGAAAGCAGACACTGGGTCTTAATACACATTGTTGTTGTTGTTGTTGTTTTGTTTCTTGGCTGGCTGGCACTTGGCATGGAGCCCACACATGGTGCATATGTATTTATTTAATTAAACAGAGTTGGCTTTGATTCAAATATGATTTTAACTGGACTTAACCCCTAGTAGGCCCTAGATCAGCAAGGGATAACAACTCAGACAGGGAAGAAGTCTGAGTTACGGATCCTTCCCGATAAAGGTCCCCTTTTATCTGCACCTGGATGACACCTCCGATGCTCTTCGGAAATTTCACTCCTGTCACATTTTAAATGCGGTTTACACTAGGGAACCAAGAGGATGGGAGGTGGGCAAATAAACCCAAACCAGAAAGTCATTCGAAGCTGTAAGGTTGCAAAACACCAAAAGCTCGCAACCGTTGGGGGTGGATCCTCAGAACTGCCGGGTTTCTCCCTCTGCCAGATTACCAGCGTTTCGTAGGTCTGTGTTGCGCCCCCCGCTACTCAAGTCCCTAGTTAGCCCGTAGAGCCCTGCAGAAACCGGTCCCGGCGGGCGTCGGTTGGCTTGGTGCAAGCCTGTTTGTTAACGCTGAGAGAGCAATTAAGCTGCTTGTGCAGTGGCGATCTAGGGGAGGTGGTGGTGACCGCTTGGGTCGTTCTGGGGTGGGGTGGGGAGACTCGTGGGGAGCTGGGACCCTAGCGGAAGAGCTCTATAGAAACCCTGGTTCTGAGAGTCCTTGGCGATGCGGTAACCTGTTCCTCTCTACAGCAACCACAGATGCTGAGGACTCATTTTGGCTCCCCAGGTTCAGAGGGAGGGAAAAGGGGGGCAAGGAAAGGGGATTATATTGGTCAGTGGTTGGGCCTCCCCCGAGGGAAGGGAGAAGGGCAAAAGGGCCAGG